GTATGCTAACACTGAAGTTTCTGCTGATACTTTATTGAAGAGACTGTAAGTGGAAGTGTGTGTTGTTTAGAGTGATTCAGTAATAGTAACTTCAATGTGGGCATTTTAAAGATCAGTAGTTGACTTGGTGTTTGCTTTTCCTTTCAGATCCCAAGCACAATGTTCACACCTTACAGAAAGGAGGTTGTAGGCGAATGGGTTCCGCTAAATAACTTCAACCCTGATCTGAAGAAGAGCTCTGTGTAAGCTTGAAAGCTTGTCTCTCTCACCAACAAAAATTGGTCCAATAAAAAATATTACCTCACCCACTTTGTCTTTCAGATCTTTACTTCTTCTCCTCTAAGACAGCCAGCCCTTATCTCTGCCTCTTCTGTGTGCTTGCTTGACCCTTCCCTTTTCGCTGTGAAATACACTAATTTTGTAAAGATTCTTTCCCTCCATTTCTAGATACAGATTTTTTGAAAGGAAAATAAAAGTTGAAGCATGTCTTTAAGAACATATTCTGCAAGAACGCAGTGTAGCATAGATATTACTGTGCTTTTTGCTCCCAATATAACAGAGATTTTAAGAGACTGGTACGATTTTAAGAGACTTTGGGTTTTAGAGCCCTTAGTCTGACTTTCTGGACAGAACCTTTGGCAGTGCCACAGAGTTAAAGTTCGAGAAATGTGTAGCTTACTGTTGGCTGGAGAAAACATATTGATTAAAAATGGAATTTATGAGAAATTGCATTAAAAAGTCAAAATTCAGACTATTTTTACCAACTCTAGTGCAGATCTCATGCATTTCTGTATCTTGAAGCACAGTGTAATTGACAATGCTTTCTACTTTAAAATAAAGAATTAGGGAATATAGCTGAGGGTGTTATATGTAAGGGAAGAGGCCTGAGACTGGGTTTTCCATGAGATAGTTTTACTCAAATGCATTTGCTGATCTCAATTGCAGAAATATGGCACCAGGAGACAGGTAGTCTCCCAGGAAGTCCTAAATCCTAAATGGATTGGGACTTCTCCATTTGAGATTCCACGTCTTTTCTGACGCTGCACTAAACCAGTTGCAAACAGAGGAGACATTCAAGCTGAGAAAATGGTCAGGAGGCAGGACATCCTCCTGGAGGGTCCCTAAGCTCTGGGAACAGCTTTCTACCCTGATCTGAAATACATAGGGTCTCCTGACCTTCAGAGGAAGCTGTCTATATGCTAAGGTTTTTGCAGATGAAAGGTTTTTGACAGAGTTTAGGTCTGCACCAGGGAGAGAATCTTTGTGTTGTAAACCTTAGAGTTGGTAGGGCAACTCCACCTTTTCATTTTCTCTGTATGTATATATATCTCCTTACTATATGTTCCATTCTATGCATCCGATGAAGTGGGCTGTAGCCCATGAAAGCTTATGCTCAAATAAATGTGTTAGTCTCTAAGGTGCCACAAGGACTCCTGTTCTTTTTGCGGATACAGACTAACATGGCTGCTACTCTGAAATTTGTGTTGTGTTGTTGACTATCAAATGGTAGGATGATATTTAGTATTCTTGGTTGTCCTTTTTCTGTGCAAGTTTTATTTCACGTTTTTGAGTTTTACAGGTTGTTAAGCTTTGTGATTTTTTGGTGCTCACCTGTTAATTGAAAGACACCAGAAATGGTTTGATCCTGTTTACATTAGCAACTGGGACAGTTGAGAAAGTTTCAATGAGGTTCATATAAGCGTCTAAAAGTTTCAAACGTGCTCTGAACATCCAAAACTTCTTGGCCTGAAAATTACACTGGAAATATCATGAGAACAAGATGTCAGGTTGGGTGGGGTTGAAAATCTCCCAAGAATGGCCCACTACTCAGTATCTCTCTATTTCCAGTTTTGGTCTCATACACAACAAAATATAGAGACAAATACAAATAGCATTATTTTAAATGTTTTGGTTCAAGTTAGGAGCAAATTGAAGGGCATAGATGATCTACTGGTTAAGGAATGGGATCTGCTTCTCTTCCCTTTCTGCTACACATGCTTCTTCTCTGACCTGAGCCACATCACTTGCTCTCTCTGTGCCTCAGTTTTTCTTTTCTGTAGAGTGGTGGTAAAAGGTGGCTCACTGATTTGTGCATTCATTGTTTGTTTGCGTATGCAAAATGGCTGCATACCCACTTCTCGCAGGTGCAATCAGTCAGTGCACAAAATTGGAGGCGAGCCAAAAAATTATGGCATTTTTAATTTGATCTGTCTCCATTTAGAAACTGCCCATGTCATAAAAAGAGTATTGTATTTCAAAGTGCTTTATTTGGTTGACTAATATGATTTGAAATTACAGTAATTTGTTAGCTTTCCTGTTTTCAGGGGAGCAAATTGTAAAGAAGCTGTAGGCTGTGGCACAGTAATACTACCGCAACTCTTGTTTGAAGTCCGTCCTGCATGTTTTTTTGTTGACATGAATGTGTGGTAAGCTATAAACCATGCCATCTTGCAACTATGCCAACACAACTTAGAAGTCCTCAACTATCAGATTAATGGTATAAGTTCACTGGTGGTAATAGCGATACAGAACAAGTGGCCAGGAAAGTCCTATCTGAATAGAGCTGTGCAAAATTCAGCAGTGTCTTTTTGTAAGATATTAAGCAAACTTTATTTCATTTTGAGTCTCAGGCTTGAATGAATCCCCAAATTAAGTACAATGCAGCTCAAACCTGCCGTTTACACCTAGCTAGGCATGAAAGGGTTCATCAGTAACTCAGGCTATATCCACCCAAAATGTGTCCTGGGTTTACCTTGGTGAACCAAGGCCAGGTTCATAATGAATCCCTAAGCAAGATGAATTGGATATGAAAGATTCAGACAGCTGTATCCCTGGGTAGGATACATTTAGCATGGTCCCTTCTGCTGTATCCCAGCACTCCCTCTGCATTGCCACAGGGTTCTTCTTTCACAAGACTGCCTGTCTCTTAAACTCCTGCTTCAGTGGGCTTAGTTGGCAGCTTAGTCCATGCCAGATGTTTAAACTCATTGTATGAAAAGCTGTAGCAATAGCCCTGCTCACATTCATAGTTTACTGTTCACGTTCTAATTTTTAGATGGTGTGCTGACTTGACTGTGTCGCTAATCAGAACAGTTTGTCTTTGTCTGACCTCTGCCTGTTTGTGAATTCTGTTAGGTCACCCGAAAGCCTTCTCTGCTCAAAACTGGATTGGCCATTCCACCCCCACCCCCGCCCCCAACATAATATTAACACCCCCAGTCGTTCGGTTTAGAAAGCTTCTGTGTAATGTACAGCATTTAATCATCATGATCTCGTCAGTCTTTCTTCTCAGGCCAGTGAAGTTTGAATGGGCCTAATTCATGCCAACTCCCTAGCTGGGTATTTCTGTGGTCCTCCTCACTGTGGAAATCTGATCATTTGGTGTACTGAGCCCTGGTCTACACTACAGACATATGTCGGTATAACCGTGTTGCTCAGGAGTGTGGAAAATCTGCAGTTATACCGACCGAACTCCAGTTGATGGGAGGGCTTCTCCCATTGACATAGCTACTGCCTCTTGGGAAGGTATAGGTGGCCTCTTCAGTAAGCATTATAGCAGCACAGCTTCACTGGTGCAGCATTATAAGTGTAGACAAGCCCAGATGTCTAACTCAATGAAGGTGCCCATGGGATGAATTTGTTCTATTGTGTTGAGGAGCCAATGAACTCCTGTGTTGTCCTCAGTGCAGCATGTTAGGGAAAGGTGCTTGCTGCCCTGCAGATGAGAGAGGAGACAGAGAATAGTGAAAAGAAAAACCTATGCTCCAAAAATAAGAACGACGTCCCTTTTCTTATCACACCCTGGCTGAAAAAGACTTAAGGTCAGATTCTCAGGTGCGGTGTGACTCCGTTTGGCCCAGGCAGGCTGATCCCCACTGTAGTGGAATTCTCTGATGGCAAAGAGGTTTTGCTGCTGGCAAAGGGGGAGTGGCCAGAAATTCCTCATGTTTCACTGATTTTCTGTTTCAGCCATTTGGGGCTCAGAACAGCCTTCAGAGGAACTAGTGCTGGACCAGGACCAGGGAAGCACAAACATGAGCTTTAAGTTGCCTTTGCACACCCCTCTCCCAGCCTTGCTGGAATCTGGCCCCTAATTTCCTGTGTCACTGCTACCAGTGCAAAATATAAAACTACACCACTTTTGGCAAGAGCTGGGGGTGGAGGGATAAAGCTATTATTCCATTAGAAGCTCCTATTGGGAATTAACATAAGGGTCATTTCTAAATGATATTTGTACTGATTTGGCTGGCTTCAACCTAGTTTTAATATGAGTGTTGTCTTTGTGACCTTGTTATTAAGTAAACTTGCTTACAGCTGCTGCTGTATGGGACAACACTGATGTTTTCACCATAGGATGTGCTTAAATTGGAGGACAATGAATATACAAAATGTGCTGCCAAAAGCTAATTGGAGAAAACTGACTCCCTAATATTGGGTAAAAGACAGACGTAGCCTGGTCAAGCATGTGCCATCAGTGTATGATCAGTGGTAATAAACAAATTAGAAATAACACGAAAATAGCAAGGGCAGTAAAAGTCATGCCAATTGAAGTTTACACGTGTATATTGTATGGAGTTGCATAAAACACAGAATATTCATACTACATAGTGGTGATTGGAAGAGAACTAATGAAACATATAATTTGGTTGTATACAAAAGGTGGTAGATTGTAAGGGGTAGTTGGGGCTCCTATGGAGACATAGGAGAAGTCCATCATGACCTGCCTGCTCCCTAGGAGAAGGTAACCGGCCATTGTCTTTTTCAGTTTCTCTATCGTTTCTTGCTTTTAATACTAATTGTAATCCAAGGCATGCGTCTGGCTCAGATAAAGATTTGAATTAATAAACCTGTGTGTCTCGGACCTGAGTGTTTGTCATTCTCACCCAACGCTCCAGCAGGTTTTTCTGTGCAACTGTTGCCTTAGCAATTAACATGCTCTGGTGCGTATTAGAAACACCGCTGTAGTGCTCTCCTCCTGATGTCACTTTCCTTTCTTACAGCTTCAAATGAAAATGAGTGAGCGAGCCGTCTCCCTCAACACCATAGTGCCCTTGCCTCGGAGTGCCTACTGGCAGCACATTACACGGCAACACAGTACGGGACAGCTCTACGGCCTACAAGGTAAGGGAGAGATGGTGCAGGGAGACTCAAACTGCCACAAACAGGACCAAAGAGTGGTTTGACCACCTATTGTGCTGGAAACAATAATTGTGTTGTTATAGGCAGGGATGGTAGCACCACATTCTTATGGTTGCCCAGGACTTCCCATTATAAGATCCTGTAATTAGTTGCTTATCATTTGCCACACTTTGACCACTCAGGCTGAAATTTACTATGTCACGTATCTGTCTAAGGCTGAATTATTTTGGAAAACTTCAGCCAAAATGCTTTAGCCATTTCCAAGAACAAAGCTACGCAAAATACATTGTTTTGCCCATGTCAAAAAATTCTAACAACCTTTTCTTTCTCTAGCACCTTTTCTTTTCTCTATGCTTTGGAGCAGGGACTTGAATTTGTCAGCAGGTGGCCTTTGTGTCAGGGCTGTATCATTTGCTGTCCCTGTGAAAATCTGCCCAAATTTGGCCAAGTTATAAGCCTTTGAAAAATGGCAGTTTGCACATGTTTATGGTCCAGTCCTGGAACATGCCTTACTCATGGGAGTAGTCAATTGATTACAGCAAATTCAAATTATTCTAATAACAAAATGGTTTGAAAAGATCAAGTGATTTTAAATTATCAAAATGAGTTGAAATGATTTGCTGGGGGATTTTTTTAATCCACACCATTCAAATGTGTTATCACACCACTAACCATTACTAACCCTTCTCCTTGTCCAACCCTCTCACTCCAGTCCCTCCAGCAACAAACAGGGAAACACGGCTTAGTAAAGCACACAGTGGAGTGGCCTTGCTGTGAACAATTCATCCAACTCAGCAGTGGGATAACTGCGTCCTTGCAGTCTCATACTCAGAGGAACTGCAGTTCCTCTTATTTCAGATATACTTCCCGTTGCCAGCCTAAGGGATAGCACAGACCATTCTGCGAGATTTCTCATAAGAGCCTGGGCAGTTTTCAGTAAAGTTAGATTTTCCTATGGGGTCAGTAGTTCAGCAGTTTTATAAAGCCCATTATTGCCTCTCTCATGATCACTGGGGGACATCTAGTGGCTAGTAAGAATCTTTATCCTGATGGCCAATTCAGTGCTCTAATTTATCAGATTGGAATGTTGAGTGGTGAGTGTGCAGTAGACACTTACAAACATGGAGGAAGACATGGTCCTATCCTTAGTATCTGGCATGTGATCTTTAAAAATGAGCCGTGCGGACCTAACTCTACTGGTAAAATTCCCCCCAAGCTCAGTAGGAGCAGAGTTAGACAGTACTGAGCATTTTTTAGAATCCCACGCTTACAATTTAAGAGCTGATCCCAGGAGGTCATACTGCAATATCTCCAATATATTATAGATCCTTTGGTTCAAATACATCCATGATGTAATTCCGTTAAGCTCCATCACATGTCTGGACTGTCTTGTTTGTTACCATTGACTTCAGTGGGAATTGTGGGTGCTCAGCACATTTCAGGATCAGGCCCTAAATCAGTACCTTCTAGTTTGTGCACATATTCTTAATTTAAAATTGCAACCTTTTCCCATCTACATTTTACATTGTGAAGTTTATTATTTTAAATCTGCTGGAATGAAGCTGATGGGCTGTTTGGGCGTTGGTTCAGTATTGATGATGAATCAGTAACTAAGGATCAGGGATCTGTTCTGAGTGGTCAGCAGAGGAGTTCTGAGAAACAGACTGGACTAACCGAATATTTAACAGAAACAAGGCAATAGTGGATTATTGGATGGCAGGAACCAAAAACTGTCAACCTCTCTGGCCTGATTTTCTCTCTAGAGCACTTTGGAATAAAACTTGGACAGTTCCTTTGTTTCATTTAGTTAATGAAGAGGGATTGAAATAGTTTTGCTAGATGTCAATACTGGACAGGCAATGGAAAGAGGCCTAGACTCTATCATCCAGGCACAACCCCTAGTTGTCCCAAGAGGAGGCACCACTGACATGCACCACAGAGGTGAAATGTTTCCCTGAGCTCACTGACTTGCAGGAAGAAAACACCTGCTGCACTAACCCTGAGAAGGGTGCACGTGAATTGTTTAGTGTGTTGAAGGATAGGTTAATCTTGGGGTGGCTTGCACTGCAGAGAGCACCAGTAAGGAAAATCCATGCCACTCAGAGAGCTCAGGGACAGCAGTTGTGTCTGGCGCCCATGCAGGGTGATGCACAGGGGCAGGCTACTGGCAAACTTGTAACAATTTGGCCCAGAAAGAGAAATAGTTGGAGAAGTCAAGGCCTTACTGCTCCTGACTGCAATTGAGTTCCATGAAGTAGGGAACATGTGGACAGACTTTGAGCTAAATGACTGTAAAACAAAACAACGTTGTAAATGTGTGTTCCACAGAATGGTTTAGGGGCTGGTTAGGCAGCACACTGCAGCCCTGATATCAAAGTGCAGATATCACTTGCCAACCCCAAGTGTTCAAATGTCAAGTCAGGACTCAAAAATCATGAGATTGGCATAAATTATGAGTTTTCTTTTTTTTAAATGTGGGGTTCTTTTAATTTGCTACCTAGTTTTGAGCTTTAGGGTTCATGTTTTCAAGTTTTTTCTCTGAAATAATGAGAAGTAAATTTTTTTTTAAATGAAAGCTGAAATTCTCACATTCAAATGACTCCAGGAACTGGGTTTACCATATGTTGCAAGACTTGAGATAAAAATCACAAGAGATGGCAACACTGAGATATAGATAGGCTTAGACAGGAATAGATTGTTATTGGTAAGTGTCAGTAAAACATCAGCTTCACAGACAACTTATACACACACAAACCAACAAAAAAGTATTTCCATCTATCATGATTGAAATTTACAGATAGGCAAAGTAAGAAAAGTGCTGCTTCAGAACTTTAGAGTTTGATATAAGGATATTTATTTTGTATATTTTGACATATGATGTTGACAATTTGTGTTTTAATAGTTATAAAGCATTCACTTTTTGAATCTCAAAATCTATTGTCATGAAATAATTGTCTGACCCCCATAACTTCCCGCAAGTGTGAAAATTTAAATTGATGAAAATAAAAAAAGTTTTAATATAACATTGATATTATCTATTGAATTTATTTAAAAAATCCAATTCTGCCAAGCCTAGATATAGCCTGTGTACCATTCTCCTCCTGCCTCATTTATCACAAACACATAAACAAAGCTAAGCAGATTTTCCCTACTGTCTTTGAAGATGATCTGAACACTAGAGGGCGCAGACACAACATAAAAGCAGCAAATGTTTTGAAAAAGGGATGAAGAGTAAAAGCAATATTTTGCTTAAATGCCAGTTTGAATTTGCTCCATAAATTAGGGCTTGACCTGCTGATGACAGCCTTTGACACAATGAGAAAAACGTTTATTTGCAACATTGCCCCACAATCAGCAGATTTTTCTTACTGTGTTTTATGATAAAGCCCCCTATTAAAGTAATAATTTAACACCAATGTATTTGACATAAGATAAATAGGGAGACAATATTGGCACAAACTGTTATTTTTATACTTGAAAAATTGCTTAGATTTAATAAACTAAAGAGAAGGATCCTTGAAAAAATCCACAGCTCGGACTGGCTAATGGATCTAATTTCTCGGATAAGTCCTGGGACTTCCAGAAATAAGTCATACATAGAATAGTGTTCCAATTAGTAAACACCCATTAGGATTATTGTGTTACTTGGTATTTAGAACTGCTTTTCACTCAGTACCTATAACATATGTAATCAGTTTAGTTCACCAAAATCTTAGAATGCACCAAGTTACCAAGAGGAAAGGAAACACTCAGTATAAAATAAACTTTGTCCTAAGCATGGGCCCAATTGCAATACCCTTACACACGTTGAGTAGTATCTTACTAAGTGAGAAGTGGAGAAGGTTGATATTTGTAAAATTGCTGTGAAACTACATTTTCTGCGGGGAAGAAGTTTTGAAAAGCAAAAAAAAATCAATTTCCATTTTTTGGGGAATTTTCCAAAATATATGAACATTTTCATTTTGAATTGACATTTGGAAACAAAATGGCCTGATCTCGTTTTGCAATGTTGAATCAAAACTTTTTGTATGCTGTTGGTTTGTGAAATGTTTCGCTGTTATGACTTTCTGTTCTGATTCAGAATGGAAACTGATTTGCTAATGTTGAAATTTTCATTTCCTGACCATCTCTTGGGAGTAGTCCCATGGATCGTACTGGGATGGCCTTTGAAGTCAGGCACCATTCAGCCTGAGTACATGCAGCTCAATTTGGCCCTGTTTACATTTTTATTTAATTTAGTGCAAAATGACTGCTTGTCCTACACACTCACACAGGAGAGTGAGGTGATATAGGAGCCCCTGTGTGTCCTGAATGGGCTACACACTTTGTGGGTCACCGCAAGAAAGGGAGAACAGCCTCTATGGGACCACGTTTGTCCCTTCTGCACAGGAGGGTGGACAATGGATGGAGTCTTGGCTCCTTCCCACAGCACATCAGGTAGTAGAGCTGAATCAGCATGGCAGGAGAAGCAGTCTTCTACCTATACATATATGTACAGACCAGTAGCCGATTGCTTCCCCCTGGAGTAAGGAAGGAGCCCAGAAGGGACATGTGACTCTCTACATTCCCTTCTTGGTCAGCTCCTAGGGCAGTGCGGCAGATTGTACAGTGACAATCTTTCCCTTAAGTAACTAAAGTGAGTCTAATGCATGTCTCATTCTTTAGCTAGCTCTAGACTAAAGTGCTGTGTACAGTAACTACGCTTGTTTTTCTTGCATCTGATTTGTTGAAGATGTTTCAAGCCCCCTGAAGCTTCATCGAACAGACACTTTCCCCACTTACAGATCAGAGCATTGATAAAAGACTGTAAAGGATTTGAAAACTCTCTCTGTCTTGTGACAGTTTGGCCCAGCGGATAATAATGATGGCGGCAAGCAAACAAAGGTGGAAATACAGAAAAAGTCAGCTTGGATTGAATTAAGTCCTTGAATAATTTTTTTTTTTAACCTTGGCAAGAAAGGAATGTGTTCTGTAGATATTTCAAAAAATGCCAAACCAACTATCACACGTTTATTTAATACTTTACACCTGGAGGGGACAGAAATCAGCCCCTAAATGTTCCTGAATGTTTTTATATGATAGATATATGTTGCAAATATATGAATTTGTCTTATGATGTGGGGTACTGTGATACCACTTAGTCTGTTTCCGCAGTGTGTTTGTTGATGTCAGCTGTGCCAGCAATCTCATGGTTCCTGTTTGTTGTAACTCTTACCCTTTAGTTGCTAACATTATTGGTTAAGACTAATCTTTTACCATAGTACTTTCAGAAATGATGGCCAGCTTTAAGCAGCAATTGGATCTGTTTTTCCTGTGCTAAGTCTCCTTGAGTCCTGATAGACTTTTAAAAAGACACTGTCAAAGTTTCTTTAATTTTTCCATGTTTATTTCCAACTCTGTGGTGTTTAAAAATAAAACTTTTCCCCCCACCAATGTTGTGCTTTTCCATGTGAATGCCAGTATCAGCAGTGCAGTCAGCTCACAGAATAATGTCAAGCAACAGACACTCATGAGTAAGCAGAGGGAAACTGGGTTATTTTGGATCTCTCCCAAAGAATCACCATTCTTTAGGATTTGTGATGAATTTAGAGAAACAGAATAGTAACTTCCACACTCTTTATGCCATGAGCTCCAAGTAATTTTGTGGCAGAGGTCACATTTTGTGTCCTAGCTACTGTGTTTAACAGTGTTCCTTTAAGTGCTGCATTCACAGATACGATATTAGAATGTTAATTAAGTTGGACGGAATTTTTCATGCAACAGTTGTGTTTTGTGTGTTTTATATTGCACTAACTGGGTAGCCAGTTTATGGGCATTAAATGGGGAATTGGAGACCTATAGATGGATAATTCTGGCTGTTCTGATATTTCATACATGAGGGAGCTATGTGTAGTGATGCAGACTGTTAACAATAGTTAATAAAATTTGCTAATAAGTCAATGAGCAGGAGCAAGGGTGAAAAACTGGTTTATTTTATTCCAAATGATGGGCACTTGTAGCTTGAACTCTAGCCAGAGTCAGTTCTAAAATGTATAGGTTCGAGAAGCCACTCCTGTATCCTCAGGCAATGTTCACTTAGTATCAATAAACCCATACATGCCTGAGGAACTTGGAAACTGACAGGAACATGAGATTTCCCTTGAAATAAGCACTAGCACTATTTCCCGGGATGTATCAGTGAAATGTAAGATGGTGGCATCTATAAAATCCTTTCTTTTTTTTTTTTTTTTTACTCAAAGTATAGTGTGGTGATTTTTTTTTTTAAACTGGAAGAACTAAAGTCACATGTTGGGGAAATAGCAATCAACCTGCTTACAATGCCAGAAGCCAGAGCAGTCTCTCTGAAACCTATTACTTCTGTAAAGAGCTTTTTCCCTTTGCCGCTAGAGATGGTGCTGTTTTTGCAAATCCAAACCCAAGGTAGGTTCAGATCCTGGTCCCATTCAACCAACTCCCACAAAGTTCACATGTTGAAATAAATGGCTCCAGTTTGGGGATGTGTGTGTTCAACATCAAGGTAAGATAGAAGGGGTGGTTTGGGCTTTGCAGAAATGTGCTGGTCATATTTAGGTTCTGCAAAACCCAAAGCAGGGTGGTTTAGATCTGAGTCCCGTTTTACCCATAGTCCAAATGTCTGATAAATGGTTTAGATTATCTGTCTTTCTGCCTGTGGATTTTCTAGAGTCCTTATCACCTGTGTCCCTGTCTCAAGTAAAGTGAAATGAAAACCTTTTCACAAAACACTTTTAGACGTGTATTCCAGGAAAATGATTACCTTTTACAATACTTAAAAGGAAGCATGGTCTTTTGTAATAAACCATAATACTGCCATAAACTTTAATATTCAGAATTTAACCCATTTTCTCCCCTTTATCTACAATTTTATTCTTGGGCGTCAATTTTATTATTATGTTTAATATTAGAGTATCATAATGCCCAAAGGTCACAAAGCCCAAAGTCTGCATTATGGTAGGTGCTGTACAAGACACCGTCCTTGCCTTTGAGAGCGTACAAGCTATGAAAACAAGGAAGAGTTTTGGAGTTGAAGACACAACAAGAAATACAGTGGGAAACAGAGGAAAGAAGTGGGTGAAAGAGATGGCTGGAATGTTTATAGATACCATTTTGCTGTGGTGACAGCCTACAATGATCTTTTTATTAGCAAAGACCTATGAACATTATTAGTAGAAGGAAGCTCAATGAAGTCAGAGTTGAGCTAATAAATAAGGCCTGATTAATTTTTACTTAATAATTTCACCCGCTTCAGGGGAGTTACTCTGGATTTAAACTGGAGTAGGTCAGGTCCTTAGACATCAGTCCCCTGCTATGCATGCATTATGTGAGCAGGCTCACATGAAGAAGAAAAAAAATTAAAATTGGTTTTGGAATAACTATATGAGAAAGGATGCCAAATGATTTATGTGGAGCCTGGTCAGTTATGTGCTGAGTCTGATATGACTGTGATGCCATCACTTTTACCTGTCACAAGTGGCTGGCCCTTTAAGGAGAGTCAGGGTCAGCATTGCCTGTGAGCAGATACCCTCCCAGCTGAGGGTTACATGGTGTGGGTCTAGTTTAAGTGCAGCTGTGAAGGAGCTGGGTGATCTCACAGTCTTTTAGGGACAGCTTGATTGTGAGGAAGGTAAGCTGCTGCAAGGAGGGGCTTGTTTCTCATGTGACTAGCCCTGAAGGGAGAGGGTAACTGGAGAGAAAGAAGCTCATGAAGCAGGGTTTGGGAATGGCCCCGACTCCTAAGACGTATGGAGATGCAGCAAACACTCCCCTCTGTAGCTTGCTGAAAGGAGATAGCCTGTTACCTCCCCTCCCCACTCTACTCAAGAACATTCAAGGTCTGCAATTGTGAATGAAGCTTATGTGTAATGCTTATGGCACAATGGGGAGATAAATGCGCTTTGTGTCCCAGCCATGTACACACTCACAAGGGTCATTACAACTTCAGTGGGTATGGTGTTCATTTCCAGGATACATGTTACGGTAGTGGAACTAACAAAGATAGTCCGGTCAGATTTAGTGCCTATGGAATTGCTGGCGGTATTCACTTGTAAAAGGAAAACAGTGGGAAAAGTTATGGAAATTGTATATATTAAAAGGGAGGGACATTAATATAATATTTTTATTTCAATCAAAAACAAAAAATAGGCCAACATTTTCAAATTTTGGTCCTTAAAATTAGATACTTTATTTAGGTGTCTACCTTTCAGTAACCACGCTTGGAAAATTTGTCAATGGTTCATGTAATTATAGGAAACAATTCTGCAGATGTTTACTCAGGTGAGTAATTCTCTTGATTTTTGTTTCTCAACATGTCTCTTCATGACTGGGCCTCTAAATCACTCATGGGAATTTAATTTTTATATTTACATATTTTTCTCAGGAGTCAAAACAGCTTAAGCACATGCTTAACTTTAAGCAAGTGTGTAATCACATTAATTTTAAGCATATGTCTGAAATAAATCGTGTGCTTAAGTACTTTGCTGAATTGGAGACTCAATACTGACTTTCTGGGAAGTTGCCTCAGAAGAATGAACAATTCTCCCCACCCGCACCCCCCAAAAGCTAAGCAAACTACAGAATAGCACAAAATGTGTTTATGTATTTTTTTAAATAAAGCCAAAGTCATGTTTCTTCTAAACTGAAAGCCAATAAAACAAAATGAAGATATGCAGGGGAATAAAAGAAGATTTAATATTGAAGTAATGAAAGTAAAAATGCTGATATGAAGGAAAAAATAAAACAGGTTGGCTGTTAAGGGAACATATTAATTCCACTCTTCTTAACATTGTTTTGAGGTACATAAGCAAGTTACCATTTTGCTGATTTGGGCTGAAATGAATCATTTATAGGGCTGTTTGGGAAACAATTCCATTTCACACAAAAAAATAAATTGAGAATTTGTTCCACATCAGGACAAAATGGAGACTTCTCGGCTTTTCATGGAAAAAACCCCAGGAGACATCCCCACCCCAGACTAGCCAATAATCCAGAGGATAAGGACTTGAACCTGAGTCTCCATCCTCCCAGTGGGTTATTGGTGACATGCACATGTACATTTTGACCTGAGATTCCATCCTAGACATGAGAAACTTCCTCACTGAAATGATACAATGCTTTGAAAAGTTTCAGTTTTGAGAAATCAGTATTTTCTGACACAAGTTTCATTTAAAAATTCCTGACCAGCTCTAATCATTGATTTCACATTAAATCCCCTGGAGGTTCAGTCATACATCTGACAAAGGAACAACTTTTCAAATACAAGTTAGTCTTTTCCAAGACCATAGGTTTGAACCTATTCAAGGATGTTTTGGGGGGTTCATTTTAGGCCTTTCTCTAAAATTTAATTCTGGTCAAAGGAAACGGACTAATAGCCCAGGAGACTCATGTTCTGTATTCTTAAATCAAACAGCACAGTCAGATGCAGTCTAGACTTCCCCATACTTTCCCTAGCAATGTGCCTCAATCCTGTGATAAGGATGGGCAGATAGTTCAGTCTCCACATCATTTCAAGCCTTGATTTCTTTGTGGTGTCTGCCCTTGACTCCGAATAGGACCACACATGCATGTAAAAAAAAATCAGCCTTGGGTCCCTTGTTTGTATATTGTTTTGATAAATTTGGGATTGTTCAGGATGCAAGGCGCTATAGAAATGTAAGTGGCTAGTATCCACCGGCTAGAAAGTCAAACTAGCAGAACTGAGGGTGATAGGGACTTTCAGAAAAGCAGCCTGACATAAAGTGCTGGGAAGAATGGCAGCATGTACTTGTGAAGGGGGAAATCAATACACCTCTGTTGTTTGATACACTGTTCAGTACTAAGATAAGCTTAATTGACAGTAAACAAGGATTATATTCTTTTTTATTTCTGAGCTGGACTGTGACCATAAATAAGTGATCTTAAGGGCATGCTATGACTAGTCTTTATCTTTAAGGTTTTGTCCCATTAACGTATTCCCTTTAAAGCTGACAGCATCTGTTGTTTTATCATGAATGTGACAGTTCAGTAAATGCTTTTATTCAGCCTTCATTCATGCAGTGATTGATATGGTAAGACTTTACCTATGGTTGAACAGTCCAATTATAAAGAAGACAGAAAATGCTGTGACCTTGGTCTTTAAGTGAAGGGTCCTTAAATCAGTGGGGTCTGATTCTTTTCCCTTTTAGTGGAACTGTCTGCAGGGTGGGAAACATGACCTAAAAGTAACTTTCCCTTCAAATACTTTGTACTCTTCAGTTGTATCATTTATGACATTTAATGTCAAAAATCTGTCACAAACGGTTAGCTAAATGTATAGCTATGATTACAACAGATCAGGATGAATTTGGTGGGTTATTTATCTTTTGCATCATCACCAGACAAATCAGCTAGAGAGGTCATTAGTTAAGCTGAGTGAAAGAGAAT